TGTTAGAACGTTTTAGAAATAATAGTATTGCTATCCCATCTGTTGGATATTTCAGATGTACAAATATGTATTGGATTTATAGGGCCTAAGTGAAACCTGGGAGATAAAACTGTTGCTCAGTGCTTCCAATTTGTGAGGAATAAGGTGATCCTCCAAGTCTCCATGTCCTAGCTGTCCATATTTGCTCCATCCATAAGTATATAATGCTCCAGAGTAGGAAACTGATATTGTGTGCCGCCATCCACAAGCGACCATTGACATCTTCTCACCCTAAAATTGTAGTTACAACCAGGAAAACGAGAGTCAAGTGAGTCGAAATAAATAGAGACTTAAGGCGAGGGTGCATGATATCAATGATCCATGAACTAAACTTTATTTCATGAACTTTTCAGATTCAGAATACCAAAGGCCTGATCATTTCTAAAAGTTGTATGGTCACTTCCTTGAAACCCATTAACTGAAATTAGACTGCATATATTTCAAACTCCATCAATATATACAGCTAAAGCGGAACAATGCAATGCATGTTGAGCTATCGTCGATTTATTTCATGTATACTGAACTTCAAATGCAAGTTTAAGCAAGTGACAGGTCCTTAAAAAAGTATTGAACAAGAGTCTTCAAGCTTACCCCAGCAGAGGTAACTCTTTCAGGAACCAAGCGGTCATTCCGGTCACCTAATCCCAAATTTCCGTATCTTCCCCAGCCCCATCCATATAGGTCACCATCTTCTGTAACCGCAGCAGTGTGTTCCGCACCAGCAGCAACCATTTTGATTCGTATTCCCTGCACCCATTACAAGTTTAAAGTGTTGATGTAACACTGCCAACATAAACTCACGGTCTCTAATCACTTAATCTATTAATTTACCTAGTCAGAGCAATTATCAATAGATCCTACCTTCTATCTGTGTTTGCAGATAGTATAACACATAGTTGCAGCTATTTTTTAGACAGCCAATTCAGTATTTACCACTCCTACATTCGATAACTTAAATTATGATATCAGATGTGGACCCTTAATTAGTAACAGTCATATGTTTTAAGAAGATCAAGCTGCAGAATTGGACCCAACATTGACCCAATTCTGAAGCATAGTATTTGGTAAGTTGAGGAAACTACAACGAAAAAAGATGTTAGCATTACGCCATTAGAAGAATATTTAGCGACACAAACCTCAAAGGCTTGAATCTTCTGAGGCACTAGAGAATCTTCGGTGTCCCCCAGACCAAGTTGACCATTCTGGTTGCGCCCCCAACTTTATATACAAAGGTTAAAGAGATATGTAAGAAAAAAAAAGAGAAGACGGGCAAAACGTTAAAAAGGCAATGTACACAATAACCAAATCAAAATCCAGTGAAAATCATCAAGATGTAAACTGTAATTAATTGCACATAAGGATAAGAAGAATAACAAAGAGAAAATACCTCTGGACCTCTCCTTCCATAGTGACAGCTAAACAATGACTATCCCCACAAGCAATCTGCTTGATCCGAATACCGTGCAATGCTTTGATTGGTAGGGGAGTAAACAAGTCGCTTGAGTTACCATGGCCTAATCTCCCAAAATCCCCCCTGCAAGAAACACATACATAAGGCTTAAAATGTGGGCAAGAGAGTGTATTAGTTACTGTTTTCTACACAAAAGCTTATAGCAATATCTACAGACTGAAGAACACTTGATTCAGTAAAAAAAAAGTGAAGCAGCAAAGAAGATGAGAAACAAACCATCCCCAACTGTAGACCTCCATGCCAGATTGTGAATAAGCAACAGTGTGATCAGCACCACAGGTAACGGAAACAATTTGGTGGCCATCTAACGCGCTAAGCTGCGTGGGAGAAGGTCGATCCTCTGCATCTCCATGACCTAACTGTCCATCCTCTCCTCGACCCCAAGAACAAACAATGTCACCAGCTACAAAATCAAACCAAAATGTTCAAAATCAAAACATCGAACAATCTCTTAGCCACTAGTAGACGACGAAAGACACTAGAGTAAGGGAAACTCGATTAAAGGTCAGATCAAGAGAACTCGTAGCCGATTTCACAATCCCGGTGACCATTTGTGTCCGTAATAGAAAAAAAAACAACGAAGAAGAAGAGATAGAGAGAGAGACGTACAGAGAAGAGCGACGGAGTGGCTAGCACCAGCGGAGATGATAAGAACCGTACGAGGAGGAGCTGTAACTTCATCGGCAGCCATCTCCTCCGCCATGGATCACAGTAGCAGTAGCAGTTCTCACAAGATATTTTTTTGGTTTCGGAGAGAATCAATTTGAAAAAATATGAAATTTCTATTTTTTGATAAATTGGGAAATTTGCAGCTTCTCTTTCACTATCCGTAATCTCGAGGGTTGAACAAGGAAAGAGAGAAAGCGGTAGATGGTAATAAAGGCGCGATGGAGATTTGCACATGTCATATATCTGCTTTTTGACTTTTTTACATTTCCTGTTTTTTTTTTTTTTTTAACCGTACAGTAAATCTTTTTTGTCCTACAGGCTTTAATTGCATATAGGTCCCTCTTCACTCACATAATAAATCCAAATACGGACCTCACCGGTAAAGTTTTACATACTTTAATAATTGACCGTTTCATTTACACCTCTTCGCATTAAGGTACTTTTATTTTATTTTTATTCATTTACTGTTTTATTTTAAATTTTACGTTATATTTTACAGAAGTGGGGTAATAAGTAGATTTGGCTAGTAAATATAAAATGATCGAATGTTTAATTGTCACTGAGAGTATTATTCTGCATTAAGTGAATCGTATGCATTTGAAATGTCTATTTTTAAAGAGTGTATGAATCATTCATTAAACGGTTTCCTTATTACCTACGTTTTACATGCAAGGATCGTAACTTGTGTAGTTGTGTTTATGTGTTTTACTCATTCACACGTGTAAGGCGCATATATCATAAGATCCTAATCATATGTTTAAGTCATGCACACGTGTGAAAGTATACAAACTAGTCAACATTTTCGTGAGTTTCATAGTCCAAAATGACATATCCAATTTGTCCTTTCGTTATAAATATTCAGTTCAGCTATTTTAGATTTCCGAAGAGGTCAAAGTAAACCTTGATTACAATTGTATATATATATATACGTCTTTTTTTTTTTATTATCATATGAAGATTTCCCTCTTGGTACATGTTATTGTATTCAATTATTCAAAATGCATGGTTCTACGAACATACTGACAAATATTGAAATATATATATATATATTCAATAGTTACAAACTGAAACATCCGGTTCAAAAGATTATACTATCCAGCGAAATATTCAGATCAAATTAAATACATGGTCACATATAGATTCAAAATATATAAATATAAAATACCTAAATATTCAAATTAAGATATATCAATTTACGATCTAAAACATCCTTTTAACAAAAAAAAAAAGATCTAAAACATCCAATTAACTAATTCAAAATATAGATTTTTGGGAAAACGGCCAAAGAAATCACATACGGATACTAGATTTGTAATCGAATACCTTAATCCCATGATCTTAAATATGGATAAAGATAACATCGATGAATTTCTTGTTTCATCCGATCTGGACCGAATATATCACCTCGCTCGACGTCAAATTTATGTGAAGTGAAACTAAAAGGTTTAGATTGAAATAAAACCAACATTATATGCTTGTCAGTGAGAGAAGTTGTGACATCTATTATAGTAAGAAAATTAAATGAATGAAGATATTTTTGCATTGCCTGATACATGCATTATATGTATTGTCCAATTTTGGCATTAAAGTCAACGAGACAAAACTCTAGATCAAGATGGTCTCTAATGTTGACATTTGTTGCGACCTCTTTCAAATGGGTTCGTCTCATCATCCATCACACATATTTGTCGCATTATCTTTTATAATCTTGTCAAATAAACATCATTACTAACGATTTGTGGACAAATGTAAATTATATGAAAAAATCATTGAAAGTACTATCTACAATTCAAGGCACATGACTTAAACAGTTGGAAAATTTTTATTAGGGAGACAAGATAAGACACCAATAATAATTTAGGCTTGACATGAAGTGCTAAACAATTACTGTTTAGAGACATTTATGCACATGAAAATAGAAAAGAAAAAACATTGTGGTGAGTACATGTCGATGAACAAATTACACAACAGTAGAAACCAACACCCACCCACCCACATGGATTCCGATATAAGGGTCAAGTTTGGCGATAACATACATTTCACGGTTTGCAAAAATGTTGTAACCATATCGGTGAAGAAATGGGGGAAAGATCATGTGAAAATTTAGATGAGTAACAAACTATTTAGCTGAAAGGACAGTTAACTTTAAGCTTTATTACTTGAGATGCCCCGTGACAGACAAGGAATGACCTTGGAGATGCTTGAGTAGCTTTAATGTGTTGAGTTTGTGCCATTTGAGAATGAAGATGCTTCACGGCTCCTGTCGGATTCGTTCTCTCTTTCGAGAAAGAAAAGACCATTATTAGTTTAGCCCACTCAAGAGAAAAACCCGAAAACAATTGCAATAAATGCTTCAAAGTGCAATAAGGAACCATAAGATAGTTAGCATCAACCTCCACTTCATACTGTCTTTCACAAGAAGACATACATTCATCTGAACAAATTGCTACCAAATTCGGCATTTAATAAGCTGTCTTGTTACTTAGAATTTAATAACCACAGAAATTTGTCTTGGATAAGATTCTAGAAATGTGTCAAAATCCCAAGGAAAACTATAATGCCGACAGACACATAACTTGACCCACAAACTTCCATTGGACTAATCTACTACTCGATTTAGCAGCAATTCTATACAAAGAACGTTCCGGCGAGTATCGACACCAGCGTCGATCTTCAAGGAGACTAGGTTTTCTGTAATTTTCTTAAACCGGCTTAGAGAACAGAGAAGGCTTTTAGTGGTTAAAAGGGGCGGTTTACTTCGGTTTTGTATTGATTTTTCGGTTTAAACAAAAAGTGGTAGAACCAAGAAACTAAGAACTAATTGAGACTGAAGATGGTTTCGTATTTCTTCATCTTTTCCATCCATAAATAAATGTTAATTCTACAAATGGTTTTCTTCATCCTTTTTCTTTACATTTGGTTTCATTTTCATTTTGTAAATAATGAACTGTAAAAACACTTCACTTCAAGCTTTCTCCTTTTCAGCTATTTCCAAGATCGGTCAGCGATTTGGTTGTTCGTCATTGGTGTCCAGTGCCGACTTATCCATCTCATCATCAGAATCAATCACATTTTCAAAGTCATAATACGGATGCGCCTGCACATTAAAAAGCCGAATGTCGATATGTTTGTATCGAAAACGTAAAACCACTCATTGGTTCATTATAAGCATAGTGAGTTAGTTACCTTTGGTCGCGGTTTAACAGCCTCGAAACTATGAAATTGAGGATCGGAGAAATCAGGCGCCTGCAAAATAATATATGCTCCTTTGTTTTTGTACCTCTCTTCTGTTGCCTACACGGCAACACCACACACAAAAATTATTTTTAACGCATATCTTTAGAAAATACATTTAACAAATGCGTAAAATTACATACTTGGAATTGTGGATAGTCTGGTGCACTGAAAATAGTGATAAGCTTTCCGGATTCGACATTGTGGTCTATTGTATATCCTTTGTCCATCCCACCAAGACCAGTTCTCTTCTCTCTAGCATCTGGACCTTCATGTGATCTGATGATCAACTGCACCAACAAAAATAATATATTTGATCCAATCATCCGAATCAGTATTTGGGAATCAAACAAGCATCAATATCTACTTTGGTGTCACCTTTAGTTCATATTTCTTCAAAAAATCCTCTGTACAATCGGGACCCCAGAGAAGACCAATGCCTCTCTGTTCATTTGGTGAAAGGCCCGGAGTCATTGAAGGATCAGACCATAAAACGTCCCCGGGAATCAAGTTTGAACCTTCCCAAGGAGGATCAAGAACTGATCTTCGAGCTTGCATCAACTCATCTAAGGTACCGAGTTTCAACGAGCTCGGCTCAGGTTCCAGAAGAACTACCCGACGGTTCTTTTTCCCCCTTGTTGTTCTCTTAGGCAAGACTGGGCTGCGGAAAAGCCCTCCATGTGCTGTATAAACACGTCCAGAAATTATGGAAGCCAAAGGAAGACCTTCAAAGCAACCCAAGCATTTGCGGTAAACATGTTTTCCCTTGTCTCCGTATTTTGTGAGCACCTCCTTTTCAAAACCATACATAGATGTACAATACTTTGATTCATGATTACCACGGAGTAGGTAGACTCTGTCCGGCATCAGAACCTAAACAACCAAAAAGAATAAGAAAAACTAAGACTTGAGACAATAGCAAAACAGCTAGTAAAGAGTTTACCTTCCAGGACAAGAGAACAAGGAAGGTCTCGAGTCCCCAAGCACCACGATCCACATAGTCGCCGTTGAATACATAAAACCGGTTTTGACAAGGAAAGCCAGTATCTTTCAATAGGAAGAGAAGGTCATGGAGCTGACCATGAATGTCACCAACCACAACAACGTTGGACTCAGAATCAAGGCCATCGATATGAACGCAGTTGCGCTCTTTGTGGAGGATTTTGGAAGCGGTGAGGACGAGGGAATCAAAGACGCTGACTGGCAAAAGTGAAGGTAACTGGGAAGGAGGTAGATTCCATGAAGACCATTGGAAAGACGACATAAGCCCATGTACCCACTCGTTGGTGAGACCTCCCCCATCTGGCCATGTAATGGGAGATGGTGGAACAGATTCCATTGGAACTAAATGAAGCTAAAACTGTAAAACACAACCTATAAGGACTGGTAAAGCAAGTCTTTAATACTAATATATAACCAATTCAAAACCAATATGATGAAACCAGAGAAACAAGTAGAAGGAGAGTGACCAAAATATCCACTTTTAAGCGATCAAAGACAGCAGAAGATAGCTCGCTAGGATATAAAAATCGAATCAAAGCAGCATATACATGTTAATCTTTCAATCAATACGAATATAAATCGAATCTATTCATGTTTAAACTCAAGAGAAGAGCAAAACGTACAAAATCGAATCATGCCAAGTAGAAGTTATAACACCTAAAATCGAAATACCAAACACAACAAAGAACGATTGGGAAGAGAGTGAGACTCACCGGGTTTACAAATCCAAAGCTTCGATCTTGGACCTAGCCAGCTACTTTGCTTTCCGTCGTCGAGAACGAGATTTAGGATCTGTCTGGCATTAGATTCATATGCGCAAACGACGACGTTTTGAACCAGCCAAAGGATTCAAACTCATGATCCCAAACCGGCCGGTCCGACCGATTTATAAAACGAACAAACCTAACCGCGCTTTGCAAGAATTACGGTTCGGTTTTTGATTGATGAACGAGTTAGATTTTCTCGGTCCGGTTCGTGTTTTCCTCTCGAGATATGTATGCATACTGTTGATCCAACTGAAAAGGGAAAAAATTTGGGACTTGGTTTGAAATTGACGACCAACATCTTTCGGAAATCTAGAAACTTGATCGATTTGGTCTCGATCTTGCTATTTCTGCTCGTCGGAATTGTTTGATTTTTGGAGTCGATAAAAGTGAAGAAAAGATGGGAAATTTGTTCGTGAAGAAACCACAGATCACGGAGGTTGATCGAGCGATTCTCTCTCTCAAAACCCAAAGACGCAAGCTTAGTCAATATCAGCAAAAGGTCTTTCTTTTTTGGAATCTGAGATCAAAATATCCTAATTGGTCGATTGTTGTTCAATGGATGGTTTTGATTTGTTTTTAATGTTTCTTTTGATTGTTTGTTGGTACTGATGGCTCATCTCTTTGTTACCCATCTTCTCAAATTTTGCTAATTTAGCTTGAGAAAGTAATTGAAGCCGAAAAGCAAGCTGCAAGAGACTTAATCCGCGAGAAGCGAAAGGACAGAGCTTTGTTAGCATTGAGGAAGAAACGAACCCAAGAAGAGTTATTGAAGCAAGTTGATCAGTGGGTCATCAATGTTGAACAACAAGTAAATCTTTCTCCTTTTGTGTATGTTTTGTATTCAGCATCATCTCTTTTGATGCATAGTTATGGCTTTTCAACGAGACATATTCTCAAAACTGTCATGTGAACTCTCAGTTAGCAGATATTGAACTTACGAGCAAACAAAAGGCTGTGTTTGAGAGCTTAAAGCAGGGTAATAGTGCTATTAAGGCCATTCAAAGCGAGTTGGACCTTGATGATGTTCAAAAACTTATGGATGATACTGCTGATGCTAAAGCTTATCAAGATGTGAGTCTAAATACTTTTGGGTTTCTGATCATTTTTTTTTCATTATTACAAGTTATCCGCTTTGTCAGAATGTAAATATCTTCATAGTTGATCACTGCTTTGCGTGGCACATTTTGTTCTGAGCTCGTCTAGATTGAATCTTCTATAATCTTTTAGTCGAGCTTCTGTGTTTGATGACTCTATTTACATTTCCGAATGTCAGGAGCTGAATGCTATTCTGGGAGAGAAGCTATCAGCAGAGGATGAAGAAGATGTATTAGCAGAATTTGACAACCTAGAAAGTCAGGTATGGGTCTACAAAAACCAAAATTGTGTATTATTATCTTTACTAGATAAAGAGACTCATGGTGATGTATGTTTTGCTTAAAGCTTATTGTTGATGAGATGCCTCAAGTGCCTACGAAGGAGTCCGAAGAATCTGACAAGCTGGATCTTCCGGATGTGCCAACAAAAACTCCTGTCGCTTCCAATGCAGAAATCACACCAGCTGAATCCGCCACAAAAACAAAAGGTTTTTCCTTTCATCTTCTTCTTCTTTTTCTCCTTGTTAGACTTGCAAGAACTAAACCCAAGACATGTTTTGTTTGGTCTGGTACTTTCCCGCTGCAGTTCTCGAAGAACCTTTGCCGGCTTGAGCTAGAAGAAACTGATCAACAAGACGATTTCATCATTCTTTTAGCACTTTTTTTTTTCTTTATTGCTCTTGAAGTCTCCTGTATAATCTTGAAGTCACTGTCAGACTTGTATATTTGGAATCCTATTTTGTGTTAGTCAAAAGTCAACACATTCACTAACTTACTCTTTGGCTTAATGATCTTGAGCGTAAATGCTTTTGATTTGCCTAATGAAAAATCCAAATTGTGATTATGATTTCTCATCAATCAATCTAAGGAAACCAAATCTGTTCACACAATACAGAAACAATTTTTTGCCTCTTTTATCTATCTAATAATTAGGGTTTAAACGCCTCTTATTGTGTGAACTGTGAACAAATACTCTGTTTTGTTAAACCCTAATTATTTAGACGGTGAAAACAAAACAGAGTGTATATACAAGAGAAACCCTAGTAATTTTCAAAAGATTACATGTGAGGAAGAATGACGAAGGATCTTCCACCGAAACTGGTAGGGGAGAAGATACTGACGAGGATTCCGATAACATCTTTGAGAGAAGTGCGATGCACTTGCAAATTATGGGACGCTTTATCCAAAGAATGGCTTTGAGGTAAAGCAGCAGCAGCAGTTATCAAGGAGAGTGTTGGTCATGTTCAGTTTCGCGTTGGAGCTGGGAGCTTTTTCATTGACGAGGAGGAGAAAGTTGCTGTGGTTTTTGATGTAGACGGATATGCACCCACCGAGACAGCACATCCCTACCACACAGCTTTTTATCATGGGTGAGGATGGTTACTTCAAGTATGTGAGTCTCGGAGAAGCTCCAAAATGTTGGTTGGCAAGCTGACCGTGTTGGATATATCCGGCCACTTGTGTGCTCTTCTTCTTATCTCCCAAGCTTAATGCAAATCAATCAACCGCGCAAAAGGAAGGAAAAAGAGGATTTTTGATGTTAATAAACAAATGTGGTTGCACCATCGACATGGTTTTAATGTTTCCTTGTAATAATTATTAAGAATTGCAAGAACTAAAACTCAAGACATGTCTTGTTTGGTCTGTTAAATTTCCCGCTGCAGTTCTTGAAGAATTTGATCAACAAGACGATATTATCATTCATTCCTTTAGCAGATTTTTTCTTTGTTGCTCTTTGAAGTTTTCTGTGTAAACCGTTTGTAAAGAACAAGATATATTTGGAATCCCATTGTGTGCTTCGTCAAAGGTTCAATGATATCCAAATAATGAAAAACCAGATGGTAATAACAGTTTTCCAACATCTCTTATTTTATTATTATCCAATCTCAGGAAACCAAATATGTTCATACAATACAAAAAGAATTTTTGCTTCTTTTGCCTGAATCTGAATCTCAATTTGTTTGGGCAAGCTGTTTAGCTTCGATATCCTTGAGTCTGAGAGTGACAGCTCTCTTGTGTGCATCTAAACCTTCGATTTCAGCCATTGTCGCCACATAAGGACCAAGGTTTCTCAGACCTTCCTCTGTCAAAGATTGTACAGTCATGAACTTCAGGAAAGAGTCGAGAGAGACGCCACTGTACATTCTTGCATATCCATATGTTGGAAGAACGTGGTTTGTCCCGCTCGCATAATCCCCGACACTCTCTGGAGTCCATGGCCCTATGAAAACCGAGCCCGCGTTCTCAATCAGTCCTTCCCATTTCTCAGCGTCTTTGACATTGATGATCAAATGTTCTGGTGCATACAGATTTGAGAAAGATATTGCCTGGAGAATTGAAGATCATACAGTGATGTTACAGATGTTGTTTTGAGATAGTAACAGTAAGGGTGCATCTTAATGAGAGGGGTACCTCAATCATATCTCGAGCAAACACTGTGAAACTGTGACTTAGTGCTTTTGAAGCAAACTCTCCTCTAGGAAGGCTTTTGCACTGCTTGGCAATTTCTTCTTCGATGGCGTTGAGATCTACACCATCGCCTACAACAACAAGAACAACTTGACTATCTGGACCATGCTCAGCCTGCAGAGAAACCAAAAAAAGAAATGTACAAGTTAGCCGCTTTCTGTAGGTCTGATGAAAACAATAAGGCAGACACAAACTCATCCGGATATGTTATGTTGAAAATTGCAACATTTTCATGGAAATACCTGAGAAAGTAAGTCTGCTGCAATGTAAACTGGACTAGCATGTTCATCAGCAATAACTAGGACTTCTGAAGGACCAGCAGGCATATCAATTGAGACCATTGCCTCGCTGTTCTGCAGTAAGAGGAAAAAAAAAGGTTAAAGAGTAGTCTAAACAAGTTGAGACCATAAGTAACTGAGGAACGATATCTGTACTTGAAGAATCATCTTAGCAGCTGTAACATACTGGTTCCCAGGACCAAAAATCTTCTCAACCTTTGGACAAGAATCTGTCCCCCAGGCCATGGCAGCTATAGCCTGCAAATCAAAATCGAAATGACTACAATCATAGAGAGAAAAAAATAATCACCAGCATGAAAACATAAGCGGAAAAAAACTAACACAATCACACCTGCGCTCCACCAGCTTTGAGTATGTGAGTTACACCAGCTCTCTTGGCACAATACAGAACCTCCTGAAACAAGATAAAAAAAAAACTCATGAGCTCAGCAGCAAGATAGATAAAAAATGTGAGTACTCATGAATAATATTCCCAGGAAAAAAAGACAGCTCGGGTACTACCTTACATATGCTTCCATCCTTACTTGGTGGAGTTGCAAGAACAACTGTTTTACATCCAGCAATTTGAGCAGGCTGAGAGAGAAGTATAAGGTAAGGAAAAAGAAGAACAGATAATTACAGAATTACAAGAACAATGAACAAGTATAAAAACATGAGAGCTTACAATTGCAAGCATCAAAGCAGTTGATGGCAAAACAGCTGTTCCACCAGGCACATAAAGACCTACAGAGCCAATAGATCTAGACACCCTTTTACATCTGACACCCTAACAAAGAGTTCACAACCAAAGATTAGTGTGAAGAAGACTTAAGAACGTAATGGGTAAATGAATAGACTTACTTTCATATTCTCAACGCTTTTCTCAGTTGACTTTTGGGCCAAGTGAAATGCATATATGTTGTCATACGCAACATCAAACGCTTCTTTCACATTGGAATCGAGCTGAACACAAAAAGCATTGATACAGAGAAAGGAAATGAATTTAACATACAAATGAAAGAGCATTCAAAACATTTATATAAAAAAGTTAATCAACTACCTCAGGAACAGAAAGCTCAGACATATCTTCCACAACTTTGTTCAGTTGGACTTTGTCGAATCTTTCAGTGTATCTGAAACAAAAAAAGAATCCTCATTTCCATCTCTTTTGGGGAAATAAGAAGAGTGAAAATGAAAGACAGAGAATGAGTCACTGACTCTTTGATAGCAGTATCCCCATTGCTACGAACAGCGTCGATAATCGGGTTCACCTGACAGTAAATTAATAAGAGAAGGGGAAAGTTGTCAACGAAGAAGAAGACGAAGAGTTTGGAAGTTACAGTGGCGAAAATAGAAGAGAAGTCAATGCGAGGGCGTGACTTCAAACTATCAACTTGGGAAGAAGTAAGTTCAGATAATCGGTAAGACTTCATCGAGCAACAAACGTATCCTGTAAACACGCAATTGGAGAACAAATTCGTTTATCAGAGCTTGCTTAATTAAACCAAAAATCTCGGTAAAAATTGAAACTTGTGATCGAATTCCAAGTCAATTAGCTGAAAACCCCCGAGAAAGAGCAAAACAGAGAGAGTGACCTTTGTGAGGAGCGTGAGTTGAAATCGAGATACGTGGGGACGAGAGAAGCGAAAGACGAGACAGATTGATGGACATTTGGATTCACCGGCTTCCTTCAAATTAGGCTAGGACAGTGTTCGTTTGAGTTTCAGTGTCGCCGGCGACACACAACAAAAGCTTCCCTTTTACCAAAATAATAAAAAAAATACTATAAGACAACAAAAAAAGCCTTGAAACGTACAAGGTTTACAAAATCAATTAAGGCCCATAAAGCCCATTCGCTAAGAAATCTCCAATACAATGAAAAAGGTACTCCGCTAACTCTCTTTTATAATTTTATATTGAGTGATTAATTATGTTGGTTAAACGATCTTAGGGTTCATGTAAATTAAGCTTACATCATCTTCTCCTCTTTTTATCGGACGAAAATTGTGGCATATCATCCCATCTTTTAATAACTCCAGCCTCTCAGAGTACCAAAACCCCAACCGCAGAGTCCAAGTAGTCGCAACCTCTTGTGCATCCGGTAAGACCAATATACAAACTCCCATTCAAGACTGCTTATCCAACTCTCCATCATCACTCTGTACTTCCCACTTCTCCTATAACTAGACAATGTCGCCACAAAAGGGATTTCGGCTACATCTTTATCCATTCTTATTGTAGCTAGCCACTGTAACGGACTCGTTCTTTCCCTCGATCAAGACCGTGTAAAACACGCGGCCCACGCCAATTCCGTCCCTCCTGAAAATCAGTTTCTCAACAAGATCTCTCCCATATAAAAGATATTTGGTAGGCTTAGATCCTTGGTGAAGTATCTCAACAGCAGCTTGGAGATTTGTTCATCATCATAGTGTTCATCTTCGTTAGAAGCTCTCATCATCATAGTATCTCAAATGCCTTCGTCTACTACATCCAAAGATCCAAATTCAATGATCCCCTATATTTTCGGTATGTATAGATTATTAGTCATATGTTTTTGTTTTTTTTTTTGGTAAATATCATATGTTTTGGTTTTGATTTTGATGTTACATACTAAGAAACGAGGTAAACCTAGATAAAGTGCAAGTGTAACCAAAAAAAAAAAAAAAAAAAAACAGAAGTGTATTAAGGTCGTTCGGTTTTCCAAATCCCTTTAAATTTTTTTTTTTATTATCTATTACTAATAAAAGATGGTCATTGAGACTTCTAAACCTTTCTAAACCTTTCTAAAATCAAGCCATCCACATCAGCATTACAAAACCTTTCTAAAATCATGCCATGTCAGCATTCTTCCATCTCTCTAAAATAAATAACTTACGTCTTAATGCACAAACTACAATTCCATCTATTTTGATTTTTTGGGCTTGCATATCCAATAATAATAAATGACGCCACATATTCCATAGCAGTGACGAGACATTGGTGTAGCGAATCGCTTTGACTCCCTCATAGTTTCAGTTCATTGTCACCTCTCTTAAGTTAATCAATTTGAATCTGTTAAAAAAACAATAACACAACCATTACCAATGACAAATGGCTACAACGATCTTAGAGGAAAATCAAACGTCCACTGTAATTTTATTACGTTTTCTACATTAAGTAATGTATACTTTTTTACTCTAAATAAAATCGAAATTGACTACCATTTTTTGGATAAAGAGCCTACCAACTTTTACTAAGAAATATTATTAGAAAATTATATATATTGAAATTCCGTAATACATGAATTTTCATCTATGTAGACCGGATCCTAGATACACTATCCGGATCCGTATCCATCCCAAAAATATGATTACGTTTAACAAGTATGAATGTTTTACCCAAAATGATCATGTAAAGAATAGTTATGCATCTCCGCATATGAATCAAAATTTGGATATGGATTAAAGTTGTTTTACAAGACTTGAATAATTAAATTCACTCTAGGTACAATTTTTTTTAGAGCTCCTTTATTTCTAATTTTCCTTTTTTAAATTGATAAAAATTCTATAAGATTTGCTTTAAGAAAAATTTCCTTATTTTTCTCGAACCTTATATAAGCTAACCCTAGTCGATTAGCGAAAGTCGTGTTTCCTGGCTTGAAGAATGGAGTCGTGTAATATTGTTCAGATGGAAGCGGAGCTAAGTCCAGGAGCCATCGAACAGTGGATTTCGACGGTAAAGAATGGAAAGATGATCGAGAAAGGAAAACGACGATCGGATTTGGCGATCAAGGTGAGGAGACATCTCTCGGCTCTTGGTTGGGTAATCTCTTACTTTAACAAAGGGAACAAGCGAGAGCTGCGTTATAAGTCTCCCAAGGGAAGGTGGTTTTACTCTTTAGCTAAGGCTTGTATGAGTTGTGTCGACCAAGACTCTCAACAACAACAACAAATTGTTCCTAAATATGACTTGTCTTGCTCTCCAAGAAATCTGTCCTCGGAATCTAGTTTTGTTGGATCGAATCAAAAACAGAAGAAGAGTAAGAAAAGGAGTAGGGTTGAGGATTTGGATATCAATAGCACAGCTCCGGAAAAAGAGAGTCATGCCTCTGATTTTATCAAAATCGTTCCAAATTTTGATGTATTGAAACAACAACATGAGAAGCTATTGAATAGAGTGGAGGATTGTGATACGGCTGCGTTTAATGGGGACCAAGAGAAGATCAAAATCATTCTCAACGTTGATGTAATACATGAGCAACAAAAGAAGAGAAGGAAGACGGCGGGTGAAGAGATAAGGAGGCCAAGAATAGAGAAATCGCTGAAGAAGGTCTTACAAGTGATGGAAAAGAAGCAGCAGATGAACAAGCATGAAAAAGAGTCTCTAAGATTCTGTAGAAAAGATTCTAGTCCGGACATGAACTGTGATGTGTGCTGTGTTTGTCACTGGGGTGGAGATTTGCTTCTATGTGATGGTTGTCCTTCAGCTTTTCACCATACTTGCCTCGGTTTGTCGAGTCTTCCCGAGGAAGATCTCTGGTTCTGTCCTTGTTGCTGCTGTGATATATGTGGATCAATGGAATCACCCGTAAACAGCAAGTTGATGGCATGTGAGCAGTGCCAAAGAAGATTCCATCTCAAGTGTTTGAAAGAAGAGCCTGGTATCGTTTCCTGTAGAGGCTGGTTCTGTAGTAGTCAATGCAATAGAGTCTCTTCCGCCCTTGAGAATCTCATAGGATGTAAGATTGCAGTAGGCAACAACGGTGATTTGGTCTGGACGTTGATGAGAGCTCCGAACGAAGGTGAACACTATGATGATGAACAAATCTCCAAGCTAGAATCTGCTGTTGAGATACTTCACCAAGGGTTTGAGCCTACCAAAGATGTTTTCTCTGGGAGAGACCTTGTTGAGGAACTGATATTCAGGAAAGACAGAACTGGAGTGGGCCGCGGATTTTACACAGTCTTGATCGAGAGAAAGAAGGAGCCTATTACGGTGGCTGCAGTGAGAGTTGACAAAGATGTAGTCGAGATCCCTTTGGTGGCGACATTGTCTAACTACAGGAGAAGTGGGATGTGCAGAGTGTTGGTGGATGAGTTGGAGAAGCAAATGTCTCAGATGGGAGTTTGTAGACTGGTCTTACCGGCTGCAAAAGAGGTTGTGAGCACTTGGACACAGCGGTTTGGGTTCTCGGTAATGGAAAGTTCCGAGCGGCTGGAGCTTGTGAAACATGGAATGCTTGATTTTGTAGGTACCGTCATGTGCCATAAGTTTCTTGTGAAGGAAAGAGCAGAAAATGATTCTGCAGAAGAGTCAAGCCTCACAGAATAACAAGTCTCCTGGTTTTTTCTCATGTAATATAGATTGATCTTACATATTGGGGAGAAAATGTGTAGTAACAACTCGTGATGTCCATACATAACTTGGTACATCTTTGTCTTTAAAATGTGTTAGTCGTACTTTAATTAAATGTGAGTCTATCAAATCAAATAATTGGATTCTGTTTTTTTTTGAAGGATTGTATATGAAAATCTTTAGAGAAACCAAGAGAATGCACTAGAAAGAGTATTCGTCTGGATGGTGCTGAAACTCTACTCAATCTGAGGTACCAATTTCCTTTCTATCTGTGTCAGACGCAGAAACATGTCCCCAATAGCAAAAAGATCCATCATTGAACTAAAAAAACATTGCCATAAATCACACATGCATAAATGAATCTTAGGCTCATGCCGCAGAAACTAAAGCTATCAGCTCATTTGACTTGAGATTCTAACATTGCTCTAAACAACTCTTTATTGGATACAGACATACAGTGAACAGTTAGTCCAGAGCTCACAATAAAACAGACATTGTACCCTGTTTTTGTTTTTGTTTTGCAAAGTAAAATGATAATCAGATGAATAAGAAGAAATAAGCATTCCATTCTTATTTAAAGGTCTTGCAAACATTGAGAAAGCACACAATTTACAATGAACCAATCTCACAATTCGATTCCTTCAAATCCCAGTCTCATCACTACGTCATTTGCCACTGCAAGTCATAGCAAAGATAAAGTTAAATAAGAAAACTTTAACTCGATGATGATACATAATAATAAAGCAGAGGAAAGTAGTAAAAGAAACCTTAAGAACAGGCTCTCCTTTGTTAATATTTGCAGATTGTTTATCCATTTGTTGTAATTGAGCTTGTGCAGCTCTTCCAGCTGCAGACTTATCAAACTGCTCTTTCCTGCGTTACCAATACCAAAATCAAAATCCAAATTTTAAGATTTTCGAGGAATTTAAGATTCCTAAAGGATCAATTTTTCAATAGAGGCGAAGACAAAAGAGATAAAAACCGTCGCTGGGCAGCTTCGGCGGCTCTGGCGCGAGCTTCGGCGGAGGCTTGTCTCTCTTCTTCCTTACGCTGTTCCTTTTGGGTTCCGTCGAAGCAACTGAAACAACCCATCTCCGATCGGATTGATTTGATCTCTTCTTCGCTTCTGATTTCTACCAAAGAAGAAGAAGAAGACGCGTCTTCTGCAGAATAATAATTTAGCTCTTTTAGGGGGAGACTCTTCTTATTTTAATCTTATTAAAATATTTATTAACCCGATTTATCAACAAAAGCTAATTACAACATTTGATTTATCATTTATGCATACTAAATAAAAATATTTTTATAAAAATTTTATTGAATCAACTTTGTAGCTGTTTATGGTTCTGTCGTGGTACTAAAAGATTCTCAACTTTCTCTGTTTTAGTATGCGTGGTCTTCCAATTAGGTGATCTAGTCTGATTCAAGAACTGAAAAAAAAAAAGAAAAAAAAAAAAGAGAAGCCTCCAATTAGCTTACGAGGAACAAACACAATCAAAGTAACTCAAACAATTACAGTTTTTGTTGTCTATATACATTAACATAATATTCTTCTTCAAAACACAGTCAAAAGTCCTTGTTCATGTGGGGACCAAAGTTGCTTATAAGTCTGAGTGCAGACCAGAACTACAGCTTCTTTTCTCCGAGGAAGATGATGATTCCTTTGTCATAAATCGGGAAATTATGAGTCTCGCAATGTTCTCACCAGCCACTGCACTTGTCTCCATTGTGCTCGCCGCGTTTTCAAAAGCATTCACATAGTACAAATGATGGTCATCCAATATGAAAGGTGCGAAAACTTCAGGCGCATGGTACTTGGGATATGCACCCCAGTCTATTCGAACGGTTTCGGTTCTCCTACTGTTTAAGAAAGAAGAGAAATTAAACCAGTTTTAATGAAACTGAACAGATGTCCTTCAATAATGAAATCTGACAGAGGTTGTGTTGTAAGTTGTAACTACCTGAAGAGCTCATCAAGCAACGAATCTGATGCAGGTTGTCTCGTAAAAATCTTGTATGTCATATCTGTTTTACTATATTTCCTTAGAATGGAGATGCATGAGAATGGAATTAGAGGATCTTCAAGGGTTCCCAACAAAGCTGGAACATCCGAAAGCGATTTCATCCCAAAGTATCCCTTTTCATGGAGAAAACAACACAAATTAGTTGGGAGTCAGAATCATGATCAGGATAAAGTTAAAACTCCAGACAGTGACTGATACTTACTGGGTTTAAAAGCCCCCTCACGAATGTTGCGTGCGTGTGTTGTAGTTCCCTCTTGGGAATTGAGATCGCGGGTGAGAACTGAATATCCACCTCATCTAATGGTGTGGCAACTACTGTGACATCACACTTGTAACTGTTTCCTTTTGTGGAGTTAAGCTCGTAATGGTTCCCGAGATGTGAAATGGATTCAATTTTCTCGTTCAGGTGTAACGTAATATCTGAATGATTAATCAGCTTTGCAGCCATCTGCCAGTTTCCACCTTCAACGGACCATAATCCTCCTCCTGAACCCGCCAAAGAGACAGCACCTGCTAGTCCACTGATGAGTACACTCTGTCCATAGTTTATCCTTGTAATGACCTGGAGACACAAAATTGTAATAGGAGGATAATTGGCAAAAGTTGTTAAAAGAGAAGAGAAGAGATTAAAATGGCTTTAAAAGGACAGATTTAGCTGCAATTGTGAGAAAGCTTACAGTAACCAGCTCGTTGACTAATAAAGGAGAAAGCTGAGCTTCAGATAATTTCTCCTGTAGAGTGAGCTTTGTGAGATTGTACAAGCCTGACCATTTAAGCATCCCTTCAACATTGTCGAAGATAGGTCTTGATTCTAGGCTTTCATAGTACTTCAAGAAATTATCAACTGTATTCTACATACACAAAAATCTACATCAGTCAACAACACACACACCTAGATGCAAAATAAAGTCACTGTTACGAAAACATCCTCAAAAACACATGTAGAAGTAACAAATCATTCCCAAGTAAAATCACTTTACAACAACTAATACCTCCTTGCTACAGATTCAACAATTGATAGCCAATTCTGAAATCAAAAGTACCTCAATGAAGCTGCTCATTCTCAACAGTGAGAACCCGTAACGCAAGAACAAGTAGAGATCATTCACCCAAGAGACGATCGTATCCAAAAACGGAAACTTGGTACCGGAACCGAATGTCTTGACGACAAATTTCTTCCCGTCCCAGATTCCAATCGCTGAAGATTCTTCAATCGGCGTCGGCAATCGAACCGTCAAATTGAACCTCTCGACGAAATCCTTAACGTGATAGTTCTTCGGGTGCAGAATCGAACCACCGGCCTCGAAGGTATCACCGGCGACAGTAACTGTCCTCATGCGCCCACCGACTATCTCGTGACGCTCAAACATCAAAATCTTGGCTCGATTTAAGCCGGTGGAAACAGAGTAGTTACGGAGGAAGTGAGCTACGGATGAGCCTCCGATTCCACTCCCGACGATACATACGGTCGGAGGAGATTCATCCTCGACGCCACCGGTGAAATCGCCGGAGCAAGGTAGAAGAACCGGCGATAGGAGAGCGAAGAGAAGGGAGATTGCTATCGGAGAATTTTTCATTTTAGTCAACTCGTTGACTTTATCTCTTTCTTACCGATTGATTGTAAATTATGGCTAGAGCGCGGCCTAGAGCATGATTATCTATAGTGTCTTAGAAATAAATCTTAAGAATATTTAAGTAATATATTTGTAAAATATAGATCTTTAACTATGTTTTTGTTGCTTAGCTAAGAAACTCTCTTAGCAATAATGGCTTAATTGAGATTTAATTTTAATCATTTATTGCTAAGATCCAGCTTAAGATTTTCTTAAGAACCTGTCATTAATCATGGTCTAATGTATATAAATAACACGATAAATAATACGATAACACGTATATAAACATACACACGTATATTTTGCAAGTGTACTTTGAAATTGAAATTATCTCAGTATCTCATTAACCACATGATCAGGACTCGTTCTCTATCTATATTGTAACTCTTCGTAAATGGTTACAACTATTTAGTTTTTTTTTTTTTTTGTAAGTAACTATTTAGTTGAACCATTGTAATATTTAGTTTATTTCACAAATAATTACATTTTTAGTTTCTTTTATAAATCATTGACATTTAATCTGCTTTTAACTACCAAAATATATTTTACTAGATGTAGTACGGATAGAATTTTATTTATTACAAAATTTATATTTTATATATTTTAGAATAAAGTTTTGATATATATAAATATAATACTAAGTGAATAATATTAATTTTTTGTCCGTCTGTATATATAATATTAGAATGAAAATATATTACTTTTTCAACAAAACTCAATTATGGATATTATTTTAAGATATGAAAATGGTAAATAATATTATTTTTAAAAATTAATATTGTTTGAATAATGAGTTACTTTATGTTAACAACCATAAAATGAGATTGCATATAATTATATATTTCTTAAATGTAATTATATATTTCTTAATTTATGATATTCTTTAAAATATTAGATTAAACTATTTTTAAATATTCCAAATTAAAATCTTTAAATTTTTTTTATAGGATATAAAATTATGAATTTCAAAAGAAGAACTATATGGAATTAAATATAAATATTCAAATATATGGATCATAACTCATTTCATCATATAATACATTATATTTAACCCGTCGCCTATTACTGTATATATATTTTAAAATGATTTGTTTTAAAAAAATCAAACTAGAGTATTTATAATTATTTAAGTTTTTGATCTATTAAGTATGGATGATATTCTTTAAAAATAGGGGCTTTTGCAAAAATGCCACTTTTTCAATGCCACTTTTCAAAAATACCTATTTTTTAAAACTTTATAAAAAATGCTCTTAAAAATATAAGATTTACCCAAATATGTATGTAATATTATTAAAACATACACAAACTACATTTCTATGTATCTAAAATCTTATAAATACTTTATAAATACCTTATAAATGCATTTTAAATACCTTTAAAAACCTTTAAAATATCTTGTAAAACCTTTGAAAAACCTTAAAAATCCTTTAAAATAACTTGTAAAAGCTTTAAAAACACCTTATAAAACCTTATAAATACTTGGATGGAGTCTTCAAGTAGTAGTTACAATCCATAAGTACCTTATAAACCTAATAAAACTTTATAAAAATTTCAGATTTAAAAAGGGGTATTTTTGAAAATGGACATCTAAAAGGGGCATTTTTGAAAAGGGGCACACCAAAAGGGGTATTTTTAACAATTTCTCTTAAAAATATCAAGTAAACATCATTTTAAATGTTGCAAATTAAAATATTTAAAAAAATTATTATGGTATATAAAATTATACATTTCAAAATATAAATATATGAAATTGAATATAAATATTCAAATTCTGACCAGTAACTCCGTCAGAATTTTTGTTTTAAATAAATATATTACTCAAGTCTGAATTTTTGACCAGTTTAATTGGATCCTTCATAGATTGAAATTGAACAGTTTATATTCGTTTTTAAAAATTTAAATATTGGCATATGCAAAAATTTTTTTACTTTTTTGTAATATATGGATGATATGGTGATTTATTTGGTTCATAAAAATAGAAGTATATAAAGATGAGAGGTGAAGTATAATGATTAATAACAGATTAATATGGTAAGTTAGATATCAAATCTTATATGTTCATTTTGATTGGTCATTCTTTCTTAAAAAAAAATTAATAATATATTTTCGTTTCTATAATTAAATCAAATTAATTAAATTGCATAAATTAGTATTTGATGTGTTTATCCTTAATGAACTTAATTAATTTACTCTTTAAAATTTTATCTCAAATGACATTCCAATGTAATAACTTACAAAAAGTAAAATTAGTTCCAAAATGTACTTCCCAAATAATAGTATAGGATGATGATTGTGTTTTTCAGAAGTTGCAAACCGAATAAATGTATTATACGATTGCGTCTTTTTATTGTAACTCTGTCGTGATGTCTTTGAAATGGGAACAACATTGGAAAATGATCCTAGCCATGACTCAATCTTGAAGAAGGCTACTCGATTGGCGGGCTATGCTCTCACAGTCCAAATGAATAGACTTGCTCTCATCCTTCACCTCGACGTTCTTGTCGACGAATATCATAGCGCTACAAGGTGTTATGAAGTGACTATTCAGATTCTTCAACTCTGCTATGAAACTCTCAAGGACCATAAAGTGTTTCTCAGCGGGACTCTCCTCATCATTAACCTAGTCACCTTTAGTGCATCTCTAGTGCACTTAAGTCATATGTCCCGAAAGAAGTCTATGCGGTGTTTCTATCTAGCGGCAAGAGTCGGTAGGAAACCCTTTCTATCTTAACTGCTATACAGAGTATCAAAGCATCGTGGCAAATTTCGTTCTATTTCAGAAATTCTCTGCTCGATAGCACTTTGAATAGACATGTCAATTAGGGCCAAAGCCCGCGGGCTAGCCCGGCCCAGCCCTGAAAAACATCGGGCTCGGGCTTCAAAATATATGTCCAGAAAAAATCGGGCCTTTCGGGCTAAGCCCGTTCGGGCTAAAGGGTTCTTTGGGCTTAGCCCGGCCGGGCTCGGGCTAGCCCGAAAAGCCCTTTAAAAAATATTTTGATCTTTTTTTTTTGCTAAAATTTTCGTTTAATTGTAAGATTTGTTGTAAAAAAAAATTTTGATAGAGTTGAAAACCCTAAACATAGTTTTTTCGTTATGTATTACTATAAATCGAAAAAGCAAATATTAGCTCTACAACCTAATTTGAATTATTTTGATTTTATATTTTATCTAGTATAAGTTTAAACAATTTATTTGGGTTATTTATTTGATTTCAACTCTCTTTTTAAAAAACTAAATTAGCGTTAGTGGTTATTTAAATTTTGGTTGACTCGTTTCATATATAGATTTTTTTTTAAGAGATATTATAAATTATAAATTTGTTTTTTGTTGTCGGAAGAAAAGCCCAAAAAAACCCGGAAAAGCCCTGTAGCCCTGTTAGGGCCGGGCCGGGCTTTAAAATATAGGCTCGGAATTTTTACGGGCCGGACCGGGCCGGGCTCAAATATGTACGGGTTTTGCGGGCTTCGGGCCGGGCCGGGCCGGGCTAGCCCGATTGACATGCCTAACTTTGAAGGCTTGGAAAGGCAAGGATTAAAATATGGTCAATCAAAAGGTCGTTTACATGTTACTCATGTGCTCTCAGCATGACTATTATTGTGGATTTTGTTGTGATTGGTTGTTTATTATACAACGCTTATGTAAGATATGCAAGTTTTTTGAAATGTTTTGGCAAAAAAATGAGATAGAAGAAGTTAGATTCTAAAATTTTAAGGGCTTTTTTCTTAAATTTATTTTGAATATATCAATTTTTATTTTCTTACTAACTCTAACTCTCTTGGTCAACGGGTCTTTATCACAAATGCATAGGAGTTGTAGTGTGTTTCCTTGGTATACTATACTAACTCGCCTAGTATTTGAAAAATATATATGCAAGCACCATAGATACATATGACACAACTAGAGCCGGCCCGACAGAATGTGATGCTTAAAGCAACAAAATTTTGGCCCATTATAAACCCTATCATAAATTTTTGAAAAAAAATTTGCATAGTCTGAAGCTCAAACTTGCTACATGGAAGAGATATACAAACACTTAACCAGTTTACTACATCAACTTTTCCGATAATGATGCCCCTAAATGTTAATATAGCTTTTTGTGAATCTAGTTAGGCCTGGGCATATTACCCAAACCCGAAGAACCGAACCGAACCCGATCCGAACCCGAACCCGAAGTTTTAAAATACCCGAACGGGTTCTAAACTTCACAACCCGAAAACCCGAACCCGAACCCGACCCGAACCCTAACCCGAACAAGTACCCGAACATACCCGAAATATAAGTACATAGTTATAATATATTAGTAATATTTATACTTGTAATAACTTAAGTGCCTAAATTATTAGGATGTTAAGATATTTCCGGGTGTTTTAGCTACTTTTGGCTAGATTCGGGTAAAAATACTGGGATTTTATAGATTTTTGAGTATTTTTCAATACTTTGCAAAGAATCGGATACAAAATTTTTAATATTTGGATACTTCGGGTAAACCCGAATCCGAACCCGAAATATCCGATCCGAACCCGACCCGAACCCGACCCGAACCCGAAGTTTTAAAATACTCGAACGGGTTTTAGTTTTCTAAATCCAAAAAATCCGAACCCGAAAAATCCGACCCGAACCCGATCCGAACCCGATCCGAATATCCGAACGCGCAGGCCTAAATCTAGTAATGATTTATGTACTGTAGTAGTATATGAAAAAGTGTGGGTAATTTTGTCCTCAGTTTTTAAGAAAAGACGTTGGGCCGGCCCACATTAAAATAAAGAAGAATTAGATAGACCCTTTACTTTTCGGTCGAAGAGACTCCAGTAGAAAGAAGCCTCGCAAGAGCGGGAAAATTCGCCTGCTGGAAAAAAAAATCGAAATTACTAACCGTTAGGGTTTTTTTACCGGCGATGTCGCGACGAGGGGGTGGCCCCGTGACGGTGCTGAACGTGGCGGAGAAGCCGTCCGTGGCGAAGTCAGTGGCGGGGATTCTATCCCGTGGAACTTTCCGGACTCGGGAGGGTAGGTCTC